ACAGACTTACGGTGTTGGTTTCTAAGCACAAACCCCCTGCTTGCTCCGACCTCAGAATGGAGTCGTCGTGGCTTCATCCACCGTCGACGCCCGGCCCGGTTTCCAGTGTTCCCCATCGGAAATATCAACCCATACGACTGCTGCCCCATGATTTGCCCAACCGTCTGGCCTTCGGAGTCGGCCGTTGCCCGTCAACAATCGACCTTCCTTTCGGGGATGATGTTGGGACCAGTTGCGGTCTGTTCGTTATAACCAAAGCCGATTTGTGGTGCCGTGCATCGCAAAGCTCTCGGTCTGTTGTGGCTGTTCTTTCGAAATCTGGTGACTATATTTTACCTACTATTATGTAGGGGGAGCTTCAGCTAACGCAGTTACCGTCTGATTTCTTGCATTCGTGTTTGCCTTGCGGAACGTGTCCGTCTATCATTAAATACAGCTACTTTTACCGTTACGGTTCCCGTCCAATCAGCGAGGCATGGCTTGACATACAAAGGAGCCCCGATTATGAGGCTCACCATTGAACCTTATACAGACAAGGGTAGCTGAGTACTTACCTACAAAAAATCACATGGTATCTACGACTGGAGACTTTCAGTTACTAATGGCTACCGCCAGCCACAGCCACGAATTGATCCGCGTCCGGTCAGGCAAAACGGCAATGAGGCTTGAGGTATTATTAACAACGAATCTCCGAGTAGCCCGTGAGTGATTTTCATTCAGAAAAATTCTTAGCGGGCACGGTCCTCATCGCGCTCTCTAAGATGGTCTTGCACACTGAGTGGAGACAAAATGGCCGTGTCCATAAGTACTTAAATCGGCGTTTTATACAGCAAGGCGGGCGGTGCATGCCGCCTTCATAGCCTAGAACGATGAACTAGCGAACGGTGACAGGCAGAGTGGAGACTTTTCCATCTGAAGAAATCACCCCTTTCTAGGGAGGAATTCTGCATGTCTTACCGCTCTAGGTAGGTAGATAGACCGCGTCGTGGAGGCTTCCTTATATGTTTAATTTTTCTTTGATAAATTCAACATCTATAGCTTATTAATACGGTTCATAGCTAGCTAGGCGCAATCAACCCATAGTGGAGTTAGTCGAGATGTCATTAGAACAAAGAAAATATACTAGTAGTACAAATTAGAGATGAATTAATAGTAGCATCACTGTCGACATGCATCGGTTGCCACAATCCAGCAACTATCCTAGCATTCATCCAGCTTTTTGTTCTTAATATCATTACTACATAGCAGTACTTAACAAATACCAACTCTGTCGGTGTCCTAGCATACGTGTCGCTGGTTAATATTTCTTGTGGTATCATGATCATCAAGTTTACCCGAGTATTTATATTCCATACTACCACATGAATATACCCAACACCATGTACAAACACCGACATCGCTATAGCATGCATACATACCCCTTCAATCTAGACCACTCACTAATCACTTACCAATTGCTTCATAGCGACCAATACTATAACCCAATAACAGCACAATGTATAGCAGTGACCTACCTACTAGTCAAAGAGAGGAAGGAGACCGCGCGACCAGCATAGTCAGTCAGTCCATTTGAAATCCATACCAAACTTCTCCTAATAATGCTTCCTACTACTATTTCCCGTTAACAGGGATCATGATATCGAACGGCAAATGAATAAATATATATCCATATGCATATTACCTACTACGTACCACTATGCACAAAACCCACACACAAACTTACAAACCTAAAGTTGAACCATAGATAAACATAAAAAGAAAAAGAAAACATGAAAGGAGAAAAACCAAAAATAGTCGCGCCCGGGATCGAACCGGGAACCTTCTCGGAACCTCATCAGATAATAAATGATGATGTGAACGAGAAATCATAACCATTAGACCACGCGACTGTGATTTAAAGTTTGAAAAATTTCGGGCTATATTCCCAAAAGAAAAGACTCAACTGGGACCGACCGGTTAGTTATCTTATCGCGCGGAGTTTTTTGCAAACCAGCGAGCGAGCGGGCTTGGTGGTGGTTTGGATTAGATAGTAGTTAGATTTTTTTTCAATCACCCTGTCCTTCCTACACGACCATCTGTCTAACTATCTATCTATCCATCCCTTCGCGGTCGTCGCATTTCTTTGCTTGTGTGTGTTGGGGGTTATTTTTCATAGCGGTCTTTTCTTTCTCTCTTTCTTCTTCATCTTCTCCTTAATTTACATACGCACGCGCCGTTTGCAATCCACCGATCGATTGATCCATCCGTCGAGAATCAGTCAGTCGCATTCAACGAACGACCTACCTACCAACCAACCAACCTACCGACGTTACTACTTCCGAACCAACCCACCTCCCATCACAAAGAAAAATTAAATGGACGCCCAAGCCTACCTCCTCCGCCACGGCTGGTCCGGTCCCGGCAACCCACTCAACCCGAACCGAAGGCCCGGCACACACGGCGGACTAGGACTGACGAGACCGATTCTCGTTGCGCGACGCCAAGGCAACCAAGGCGTGGGGAAGAAGACGACCAAGGATCCCACGAATCAGTGGTGGTTGCGGGGATTCGAGGACGCGCTGAAGGGTGTGGGCGATGAGAATAAGAGTGCGGGGGATGCGAAGCGCACGCCGAATGCGTTGACGAGTGAATTGTATCGGTATTTTGTGAGAGGGGAGACGGTTCCGGGGACTTTGGGGGATAAGAAGAGGAAGGCTGAGGATGAGGATGATGATGGGAATAAGAAGAAGAAGAGCAAGGGAGAGGAGAGCAAGGAGGAGAGACGGGTGAGGAGGGAGGAGAAGAGGAAGAGGAAGGAGGAGAGGGCGAAGAGGAGAGAGGAGAGGAAGAAGAAGAGGGAGGAGAAGGAGGCTAGGAGGGCGAAGAGGGAGAAGAAGAGGGAGGTTAAGAAGATGAAGAAGGAGAAGAAGGAGAAGGCTGGTCCTGAGGATGAGTATCCTACGCCGCCGGCGACGGAGGTGGAACAGACGGAGTCGAGTGGGAGGGATGAGGAAGAGGTGAAGAAGGACAAGAGGGAGAAGAAGAAGAAGACGAAGCGAGAGACGTCTGCGTCGGGTGACGGGTCGAAGAAGAAGAAGTCGAAAAAGTCCAAGGATGAGAAGGCGTCCTCGAATTGAATGTGGATGAATGGGATAGAGGGATGCTCTTTGGCAGTTTATAGATAGATTCGACTTATAGATACCCATGGCTGTGCTACTTGGTTGTATATTCTCACGAACAATATTTGCATTTTCATTATCATTTTTTGTTAATCGTCATGTCATCATGCTACTTCCTTCGCCTCTGTAGGCAGCTTTCCGGGCTTGCCGGAGAGAATCCAAGGTCGTCTCTCCCAGAATTCATCCTTGATGATGTCGACATGGTCGACTACGACCTGCACTTTGCGACGCAGTTTGCGGATCTTCTCCTGCTGTGTCTTGGAGGGCGTGTCCTCCTGCAATGGTGATGTTTCTTCCTGCACGCTGGAGTCTGATTTTTCCTCTAGTTGATACTGTACCTAGGTCAGTAGCCACACATACGAAGCAGTAGAGACATACTTACCTGGCGATATAAGACGCTGCCCTTCTTGTAGATCTCTTCTTCATTGTTATAGTTGATGCCGAACCTCTTGAAGAGGATCTCATTCTTGTCGGAAGACAGGGTGCCCTAGTCGACACTGTTAGCAGCAGTAGCAAACTTTGAGCACCAGAAACTCACCTTCAATTCAAGTTCAGCTTCTCTTCTATCCATCCCACCTTGCAGGACCATAGACCAGAAAGTTGTATTGTAAAGGTTATTGATATGACCTACAGCATATTAGCACACGACGATTGGAAACTGCGAATAGACAAAACTCACAATCCACCTGCCGCCAGCTCATATAATCCCTGAAAATTCTGGAGTTGGGATACATCACTGCTCTTCCATCGAATGAAGGCAGAGCTGCTGGCTGCAGTGGCGTATCGGGGAAATACGTCCCCCATAGATAGATGTAATGCGCCGTGAAAGTTGACACAATGGTCGTTACTAGTTTGCTGTATTCCAAGCAGAGTAAGTCCACACTGCCGGCAGCCTTGACTTTTTGCAGCAGAAGGGGAGATGACTTACGCACTCCGCCGTTCAAATAATTGGCAGTTGGGATGAAAAGCGAAACTAATCTCAAGTCAATACCACCCCATTTGACCCTGAGCATGTCGCATCACATACCTGTACTCATCGCTAATACCGTAGGCGATGCAAAGATCAGGAAGATCTTTCATGACGCCGACGGCTGCGGCATTCATTAGGTCTAGGGCCCGACGGTCGTTGGGCTTTATGAAGCCATAATAATCAGAGAGTCTTTATTCCGTCAGTTGGCGACATGTAAACAGCCAGCTCTTATTATAAGGAGTTATTTCAGCTGCTCAGAGCAGTTTCGAAAAGCGCAGCATTATGTTGAAGCCTTGAGAGGGAGATGCACTGACTTGTGGAAGCCTCTGCCATCGATCCGGACCACAATCCATGTATTGGGAAGTAGAACGTCCGGTTGCTCGAATGACTTGACATATTCATATCTGTGGCGGTTAGCAGCTGCTCTCAAGATTTATTTAATGATTAGGAAACATACTTGGAATTTGCCATCTTGCTCTAGACCGCAGTATTCGGAACTGCCGATGATTGTTGTGCAGGAAAAGCCGTCGGGCTGGCGAGGGAGGATGAATCATGAAGATTTGGGTGGGGATGAGGGACGAACCGAACCGTCCCTCCACGGCCAGCGTTGCGCTGCTTTGCACCAATTGCTCTTAGCATCTCTGGTTGGTATAAACTACTTCGACGACAATGCTTTCGACTAGAGCTTTCGCCTTTGATTACTACAGTAAATTGCAGGTATACAGAAAAGTGGATCATATCGAGAGGATAAGAAAGGCATGCTATGTGCCACAAAATGACTTCTACCGTCACTAGCTAAGAAATTGAAAGAATGCCTAACGCCACACGGCGACCTAAAAAAAAATGAAATAGAAAGAATGGATGTTGTATGTTCATGCGTGGATCTCCTCCGCTGCCTCTTCATCCTCCGCCTCGCTAACATGCTCACTAGGGCGCTCACTCGTCTCACTGGCGGCCTTATCGGACTTCCTGGACATGCGGCTGAAGAATCCCAGGCTGCTGCGAGTTGATCGGTCTGCCGAAGGGGCGCTGGACACGGTGCTGTCCACACTCTTGGCAAGCATCGCCTCGCTATGTGCGTCTTCGTCAATGTCGCCTTGCGAAGGGTCACCCTTCTTGGAGAAAAGCCCTGACCGGTCCTTCCAGGAACTGAACTTGCTGGAGCTGCCCTTTCGGGTGATCTTACGAATGAATGACTCTTTCGAGCTTCCATTATCCAGCGAGCCTGCGGAGGGCATACGTTCCAAGGATTCATACGAGTCGCCTGTGTACATAGAGAAAGAGCGAGAATCCCGCGAGGTGCGCGATTCAGACGGAGAGCCTTCTTCCATGTGGAAGTCAAACGGAGCATCTAGCTCTCGGTCTTTCGCTGCCTCCTTCTCTTTGCTCTTGTCCGACCGCTTCCCAAAGATGGTCCTAAAGGAAGGTGCAGCAGGATTCAATTTTGGAGTGACTGGCCGATGAGAAGATGATGGCCGTGTACCGATCGGCGCCTGCAATGGCCGGCCTTGTCTCTCGAACGAATCTTGGAGAAAGTCTGGCTCCCCAGTAAGGCCCAAAGGAAGGTGACCCGATGAGCCGTACTGTGTAGATGGCCGGCGCGACTGCACCCGAGACCAGGTCGATGGGGACGTCCAATCAAACCCCAAAGGACTTCGATGGCCTTGCTTTTCTGCCGATGGCCAACCGAAGTGACGATTATCGGTGGAGGGATGAGGAAGCTGGTTTTCGAAAGAGAAGGTCGATGAGGGCCGCGGAGACAACGACTCCCGGCGCACTGTACCCAAGATGGAGGAAGGATCGATGGGATCATGACGAGGACTGAACTGGTTGTATCCTGTGCTATGATCGGAGGTTTCACTGGATTTGAGCAGACCGTGTCCACTGCCGAATCCAAATCGGCTGGGTGAGAAGATGCTGGAAATGCCTGCGCGTCGCGAGGGAAGATGATCGGAAGAGCTGTCTGTTGTAACACCTGCTGTGTTGCTCCTGGGGAACAGAGACATCGGATTCGCCCAGTTGCCTGTATAGCTCAGCCGACGACGTCTAGCCCCTATGGGATCCATCTCCTCCAGATTACGGGGGAACGACTGACTTTGTCCTGGTTTCAAACTGCCCAGTAGAGGTGGCTCGTCTGCCAATGTCTTGCCGCGAGGACGGTGGAAGCCAAAGAGCCCCGAAAGCCTGCGCGACGCACTTTTGGGCGCCTCGCCTACATCCAAATTCACCGGTTGCGATTCAACATCTTTGGGCAGGGTCTGGTCCTCCGGACTAGCGAAGAGGCTTTCCGGCCTGCTTCCGGTAGAGTCTGGCGAAGGTGGCCCATGAGGAAACTCTAGCGCAGTGCTTGGTTGTTCGAGGTTGGAGAAGCGAGAACGGATGGCCGGACGGGGGAGTTCGGGCGACTCCTCGTCTCCGAGGAGATCGGACGGAAGAAGTGCGTCGGCGCGAGGGCTCATTTGAGGGTTTCCAAGCGACATATCCGAGTATCCCCGCGTACTATCCGACTGGCCCGAAAGGCTCGGGAGGGTCATTCCATTGTTGATGTTGAAGAAGGCAGAAGTCGGGCCAAAGGTGGGAGACCCAGTGGCAGGAGGGTTGTAGCTAATGCCACCTGAGAATGAAGGCTCGATGGCCGTGAAATTCATCGGAGATGAGACATTACTGGCGAGTGAGCTGCGGTGTCGACGTGGGCGAATAGTCGCAGTGTTGGAGAGATCAAGATCGAGAGCTGGGAGAGAAAAGGGTCCTGTGCTGCCGGTACGTTGGGTAGTTAGCCACTTCAGGCGCTCCTGCGCTTCTTGGTACTGCTGCTGAGCCTGTAGAGCCAGTTAGAGACTATGTCAAGAACCAAGCTATTGTAGATATACTAACCTGGGTATGGAGGTTGACAAGGGTAGCATAGCGAGCGTGAAGATTGCTCAACTTGATCTCCCACTGGCGGGCTCGCTCATTGTCAATGCGATCCAACTCCTTTCCATCCTCGCTATCTGCTTCCTGGTGGGTTTGCCTCTCCTCCTCCAGCTTCTTGACGCGCCCGCCCTTGTCTTGGATTTCGTCATCGATAACCTTCATCTCTGCCTGCTCCTTGGCAATCTTCTCCCGAATCTCATCTCCACGCTGCTTTCCCTCCTCTTCCAGCCGTGTCTTTTCCTCTTTCGATTCCGCTGCTTCACGGTTCATGTTCTCAACCCGCTCCTGCCACCGGACGATATCGGACTTGCGCTTCTTACGCTCAGACTCCTTCTGCTGCAGGAGTCTTTCACGCTTCGCCTTCTCACTCTGCACTGTACGGTTGACACTTTCCAGTTTGTAAACGTGCTTCTTCAGGTCGCCGCTCGCTTCATCCTTTTCCTTGACCCGCTTCTTCAATTCGTCACGCTGTTTCTCAAGTTCCTTCAGAAGAGCAATGTGCTCCTCTTCTTCATCGATAGTTTGCTTCTCGACGGTCTCGTTCTCGTGCTGCAGGGTTTTCAATCGGTCGGCAAGTTGTTCGAGAGTCTCGTCGTGATCGTCGTTCGTGGTGCTCTTTTGTGTCTCCTCCGCATGGCCATGCGAGACCTCCGTCCCGCTCGCTGCAGGAGACGGTTTCCGCCCGGCTGAAGATCGCTTGGCTTGGAGCTGTCCTCCGCTGTGCTCCCGGGACATCACGGGCGCCGAGGGGGCAGCAAGACCAGCGGTAGACCGGGGGATGGACGCCCGAATGGTAGGATTGCCGACCGTAGCATTCTGTTGGGTTTGCGACAAGGGCAGAGACTTTGTGCGCACATGGATGATTGCACTTGGGGTTTGGAAGTTCGCAGCACTAACTGAAAGAACGCAGATATGATAGATACTTCCGGGAACCAAGTTCAGGATTTCGACTGCAGTTTCCGCTCGTTTCGATTCGCCCACTGACAACTCATTAGTATCAACAGAAAGAGATTCGAGGGAGCCATTGCCGAGGGTACCCTTGATGCCGTTCAATTGGATGATGTGCTTGTGGATGGAATTGTGAAATTCGGGTTGTTTCCAGGCGATGCGAATTTCACGGGCGGTAATCTCTTCGAGGGTGACCTCTGGTGGCGGAGGAATATCCAGACCGAGCTTTTCAACTAGGACGTCGTTGGGGGTCTGGCAGACCTGCCACGCACGGTACAGTAGCCTTTGAGAGAAGTTAAATTTAGTTGTGCGCTCTCTACACTCTAACTGAGACCTTGCGACCTACCAGATCAGAGCCCAGAGAATGGTGACAGCCAGGAAGAGAGCCATGACGCCTCGCACCCTCACTCGGGGAACTACGCTGGGGTAGGCGTCGAAGGAGAGAAACAACGGCTCATACATCCCAGCGTCCGACACCCATGGAGAGGGAGAAAGGAGGGAGGGGACTGGCAACCTCGTCGAGGGGCAGTGAAGGGTCAGCAAGCAGACGATTCACCTAGATAATCCGTGAGAGTCGAGGAGGAATTAATCCGATGCTCCGCGGAGGGCTGCCGAGAGAGGAGTGGGACAGAATCACCTGACTGAGATAACTTAGCTGACTACTTTGCTTGCTGACTCAGCTCTGAGTCAACTGGGTGTAGATCATGGGATGTTCCAGACTAAACTACTTTGGGACATTCCTCAAAAAATAGCCTGCGCCAGCCGGAAGGGGCCTAGTGCCCGCTTGAAGCCGAGGAAGGCAGGGAAGAAGCAGCCTGGAGCACATGACGGACCGCCCGGCCGGGGAGAGACAGACGAAGCGGTTGGGCTGTTGAGCCTTCTTGCAGGTCCCAACAATCATAGATTCGCCTTTTGCTAACTCCTTCTCCCATTTCGCTGTCCTATCTTATCTGTCTCCCTTTGTTGTCTATACGCCCTGCTGGTGCTGCAGGTTCCACTCGCTTGGTTTCGATCGTGGTCAAATGCTTGCATGCCAACTCATTCGCTTTGCAAGTGACCGTCTCTCGTTAGTGATTCCACTTCGGCGCATGTCTCTCGGGCATTGTCACATGGGCCGTATGTAGGCGGCAATTCCTGCACCTCCGCCGTCTGACCTCCGACCCCCCTCTCTATCTGCTGTGTTCTTTGTTTTGTGCTTCGCCTTTATCGCTTGGGAATTGTTACAATATTCTCCAGGGACTTTCCCTGTTACTCTCGCAGGATGCAGTACGTCCGAAGTATCAGTGGTTCCGTCTCCAAGACGTGGAACTCCATCAATCCAGCCACCTTGAGCGGGGCAATCGATGTGATCGTGATTGAACAAGAGGATGGTTCGTGGTTTGCCTCTTTTTCTGGTCAATCGGACACTAATCTCTCGTATAGGAACTCTGGCTTGTTCACCTTTCCATGTTCGATTCGGCAAATTCTCTTTGCTCCGCCCGTACGAGAAGAAGGTACCGTTCCCGCATCGATCCTCTCAGCAAACCCCATATAACTAAGACGTTCAAGGTGGAATTTTCCGTAAATGGTGTCAAGCAAGACTATGCGATGAAGCTGGGCGAAGGCGGAGAGGCTTTCTTTGTCTTTGAGACAACAGACGAGATCCCCGCCTCGCTGCAGACTTCGCCCCTGGTTTCTCCAAGCAGCAGCCCCAAGATGCGCAGTGAGGAGAACCTCCCTCCATCGCTCCAGGAACCCGATTATTTGGATCTCGATCGATCATCTACGGGCAATCTAGATGGAAAATCTTCAACAGCCCTTCCGGTGCTATCGAGGAGTATGCGGGCATCGAGCGATTTAGGTGGGTTCTATTGCTGACTTCCATATATCATGTTATATCATGTTATTGACATTCATCTGCGACAGGTACCCTTACTCCTCTTTCACGGTCGCCGGATGACTCCAGTCTGGGCAGGTCCCGACATGGCTCTTTCGGCGATACTCCCACCAAAATCGACCGAACGGCTACGGATACAGTGCTGTTGACCAAGAGCCGCTCCAACAGTGTCAGCGTAGCGGACCAAGTATATGGGATGCAGTCCTCTGGCGCCAGCGCTGCGAGCGATGATCTGGGCCAGGATGGTCGTTCGCGAAGCCCTCCGCCATTAACTCCCGAAGAGGCGATGTCTCGTGCCGTCTCGCTATCGAAGAAACTCTCCGGATCGAATATTCCGTCTCACGTCACCGAAACAGGAGACCTCATGCTCGATATGACCGGGTACAAGAGCAGCGAAGAGGACGCTCTGCGAGCGGAAGTTCTTGCGCGGAAGATCCTTGCAGAGGAATTGGAGGGCCCCTACGACATTGGGGCTCTCATTGGGGCCGACGAACATGGGAACTTGTGGATCTACAGTAGCGAAGAAGCAAAGGAGGCTGCCAATCGCCGCGCCACCTTTAATGCGATGCGACCAGGCTCCGCCATGAGCGAGCATGCCATCTCCGACCCAGGATATCACAGTGACAGCGACAAGTCTCTGCAGGACAAGCCGCTACCCAGCCGGCACTATCGCACCCAGTCTGATGTCCAACCCGGCTTCCCAACCCCGCCGCAGTCACCGACGACAGAAGCCCAAGAGCCAACTCGAAACTATGCAAAGACCCTCCGTCTCACGAGTAATCAGCTGAAGGCCCTGAACTTGAAGCCTGGGGCGAACAGCATGTCGTTCAGCGTCAACCGGGCTACGTGCACGGCGACGATGTATCTGTGGAACGGGAATATTCCCATTGTAATCTCCGATATTGACGGAACCATCACCAAGTAAGTGTTTTCGACCTGGGATGTCGGAAGTCGCTAATAGATTGTAGGTCTGATGCCCTGGGCCATGTGTTGAACATGATTGGCCGTGACTGGACGCATGCTGGAGTGGCCAAGTTGTATACTGACATTGTCAACAACGGATACAACATCATGTACCTTACAAGTCGATCAGTTGGCCAGGCAGATACGACGCGGGCCTACTTGTATGGCGTAAATCAGGACGGCTGGCGACTGCCTAAGGGGCCGGTCATCATGAGTCCCGATCGAACCATGGCAGCACTCCGACGAGAAATCTATCTGAGGAAGCCCGAGGTGTTCAAGATGGCCTGCCTGCGGGATATCTTGAACCTGTTCAATGGAAAAGAAAATCCCTTCTACGCTGGGTTCGGCAACCGTCTTACTGATGCGCTGAGTTACCGGTCGGTGAACATCCCGTCCACCAGGATCTTCACGATCAATTCGAATGCCGAGGTCGTTCTGGATCTTCTTAGTCTAAATAAGTACAAGAGCAGTTACGTTTCGATGACGGAGCTGCTGGACCATTTCTTCCCGCCGGTGAGTCTGCTGGTCCAGGCTGGCGGCGAAGAATATACCGACTTTACCTATTGGAGAGAGCCTCCGCCGGATCTAGAGGACTTTTCCTGCACAGACAGCGAAGCGGAGGAAGGCGACCAAGAGGAGGACGAAGACGAGGAAGAGGACGAGGAGGAATACGACGGGGAGCTGAGTGACGAGGAAGCAAGTGATGTTGACGAGGATGAGGCCGGAGAAGAGCTCGGGGCGAGCTACATCTCGCAGGACTCGGTCGACGGATCTGAACTGGTGGACAGTCTTAATCTCAATGCCGCCGATGAAGAAGACATCGAGGACGAAGATGAGGTCGCCTCGGAAGAGGAGTTGGACCCTCCTCGTCGAAGCCAATCCAACCCTGGCTCTCCCAAACGCTGAGGGCAGCAAGATGCATCAACTGCATTATGATGGCGAACTCATAGGCCAGGGACTTGACATTTATCGCATGGATGAGGTGTTTGTGTTATAGAATTGCATGATGGGCGTTTGCACGGTCGCATAGCCATATTATTACTTTTGTTGGGCGGCACATAATGTATGATAGTCGAGACACTAAGTTGCACAGTATAGAATTGTTGCATCATCAAATTCTTTCCTCTTAATTAATCTACTTTCTGCTCCTTCTGCTGCAACATCACGTACATCGACGGTCCCAAGTGCTGGGAATCAATCACCTGCCGAAGGCGGTCTAGCGCGGACATGCCTGGCCGACCGACTCTCTTTGCCTCCATCGGCAGCTTTCATCTCCAGCTTCATCAACCCCAGCAACCATCTACCCTCGCGCATACACTCATCTACACCTGTATCGGAAACCTCGAATCCCATTCCGATCAGCAGGCGATGCCAGCACCCACCAATTGACCAGCCTCCGAAGCGCGTCGCTACACCTACTATCCCGTCAACGACTACCACCTCACCCATCACCACACTCAATATCATTCAAAATGACCTCACCAAACCACGCGCAACCTCCCACCACTCAACCCATCACACCTCCGGCCGAACCATCAAGCACCCAACCCACCGCATCCCAAAACACCACCACCACCACTACCGCCCCCGCCGCACCAACAACAACAACCGCAACCAACAACCCCAGCACCGCACCCGCCGCGAACACCAACCCCAGCGCCCAACCGACCCAAATCCCCTCCACCTCCCTCAAAGACAGCGGCAAATCACGACGTCCGCGCGATGTCCGACTCATCCACATGCTCCTCTCCTCGCTGGGAGTAACAGCATACCAAGAGCGCGTACCACTGCAACTTCTCGACTTCGCCTACCGCTACACGTCCTCGGTGCTGCAAGATGCCGTGCATCTCGCGACAGAAGGCTACGCCGGTGGTCCCGAGGCCGCTGGTGGTGGTGGAAGCTCCCGCGCCGGCGCGTCCGAAATCAATACGGTGTCGTTACCGGCGCTGCGGTTGGCTATTGCGTCCCGACTGCATTATCAGTTCCAGGCGGGATTGCCGAAGGAGTTCTTGATGGATGTGGCGGCGGAGAGGAATCGTGTGGCTTTGCCCGGTGCGAGTCGTGGGTTTGATAGTCAGGGGATGGCGAAGACGGCGGCGGCGAATCAGAGTGTCGTTATGGGTGGGATGAGGTTGCCGCCCGAGAGGTTCTGTTTGACGGGTACGGGGTGGAATATGAGGGAGGAGTGGGAGAGTGAGGGTGAGGAGGAGGTGGAAGAGGCTGGGGATGCTGGGAGGGAGAATGGCATGGGTGGTGGTGGTGGTGCTGGGGGTGGGACGAAGGTGGAGGAGGGTGAGGAGGGTGTGGATGAGGAGGAGGATGGGAAGATGGAGGATGTTTTTGGGGAGGATACGGCTATGGGGGAGGGTGATGGAGATGGGGGAGATGGGGATGGGGATAAGGATATGACGGATGTTTAGATCAGTGGAGAGTGTGTATCTGCATAGAGGCGTTAGGGCGCAGGATAATTAGCTGCTACTGCTATAACTACCTACTTAGTACTTGGACAGGAGGACGGGAGATTCAATTCATCTATTCTTTCTTTGCTATACTTTTCCTCTCAACATCATGCACCCATCATCTATCGTCTCTCCATCCATCACATCACCACCACCACCACCAACAACAACTACTTACTATACAAGTCCCAATGAACACACACTAAGTCTGTAAATGCCAAACAAAACGCCAAAACCAGCAGTATCAATACAAAAAACAGAAGAAAAGAGGAGGATAACCCTATATACGCCAACCCACACACAGCACACAGCACACAACCCCATCCCCATCACATCATACACATACACACCCACCCACCCAATTTCCCTCTACTTCTTCTCAGCAGCAGCTTTCGCAGCAGCCTGCCTCTCCTGATCCTCCCTCATCATGCGAATGACCTCCTCCCTCCGTCTCTCCACCTTCGCAAGCTCCTCCTCCTTCGCCTTCCTCCGCTCCTCATGCGTTGCAAACCACTCCTCTCTCGCCCGGTCTTCTACCTCCGGCTTCGCATGCGCTACCATGCACGAGTTCATCGCTAGTCGTTGGTCCCGACATACCCATGTTGCTGTTATTGTGCGGTTGACGGCGCATTCGGCGAATGCTATACCAATGGCCCCCAGTGATTAGTATGCGTTGCGAACAACTTTCATTTCGGTTCGAGGAAGGGGAATGAATTGGGATTGGGATTGGGGTATATGGGGGTTCTCACCCTTGATTTCAGGCGCACAGAGAGATCGCACGCGCTTGTAGTAGAGTTGCTTCACTTCTGCTTCTTGGGCGGCGGAGAGGGGGAGGGGGTTGCGGAGGTTGTATTTTGGTTTGGTTGTTGTTGAGTCGGGTTGGGGGGTTGTGGAGGACATTTTGAATCGGTGAGGTGTGTTGAGGTTGTGTATGTATGTATGTATGTATGTATGTAGGTCTTTGTAGAGAGGAGGTGTTGGTGTTGCTGGTGGTGGTGGTGGTGTCAATCTGTCGTGTATACGAGAAGCAATGGTGTGTGGTGCAGCGCACTGTCAATCGTTGTCGTAAATCAATCCGAGAATCCGACACAGGGTATCAATTCATCACCAACATATACCACCAATTGCATCAAAAGAAGAAAGCTAGGAAACAACACCAATGATCATGCGTTGTCTAGCACAGCTAGAATAGTTAGAATCCAGCGGAGAAAGAAGTCGGACGGGTTGGTCGGCAACTACCCGATTGGGTTTAGTGTCCTCCGACTCCGACTTTTCATTACTTTCTATCTATCTATCTATCCCCATCCTCTTACCCAACAATCAACCAGTACTTTTTACTGCCTTTACAAGTCCCTTTACGCAGGGAGAGAAAAAGGGGATTCATCATGTCTTCCATGAGAAATGCCGTCCAGCGGCGCAACCACCGCGAGCGTGGTCAGCTCGAAGGTCGTGAGAAATGGGGTATTCTTGAAAAGCACAAGGTACATACATACCTTCATTTCTATTTTCCTACACCTCTCTTGCAATTACATGCTGACAAAATGACTGTATAGGACTACTCCCTCCGCGCGAAAGACTACAACACAAAGAAAGAAAAGATCAAGCGTCTACAAGAAAAAGTCCGCGACCGCAATCCCGATGAATTCGCCTTCGGAATGATGTCGAGTTCGTCCGCTCGACAAGGCAAACACGGCGCTGCAGGAAATCGCGACTCGGCTGCCGCACGCGGCCTCAGTCACGACGCTATCAAGTTGCTCAAGACACAGGATGCGGGGTACCTGCGGACAGTCGGGGAGCGGATCCGGCGACAGATGGAGAAGTTGGAGGAGGAGGTGCGGTTGCAGGATGGGATGAAGGAAATTCTTGATGGTGAGGGTGCGGAGGATAAGAAGAAGGAAGAGGTGATGGAGGACGACGATGATATGGACTTTGATTTTGATTTCGGGGATGATGATGAAGTGGACCAGAAGAAGAATAAGAAGAGCAGGAAGTTGGTGTTTGCGGATGATCGGAAGGAACAGAGAGTGTTGAAGAAGAAGAAGTTACGGGAGGAAGATGATGATGAGGATGACGATGAGGAGGACGAGGATGATTCGTTTGGGAAGCAGATGATGAAGAAGTCGAGGAAGCAGTTGGAGGCAGAGAGACAGGCGCTTGTGGAGGCTCGTCGGGCTCGCAAGCTGAGGAAGCGTGCGGCGGAGGCGCGGGTCAACAAGCTCAAGTCGCTGCAGAAGCAGTATAAGGAGATTACGGCCGCGGAGCGCGAGCTGGATTGGCAGCGTGGTCGGATGGATAATGTGGTGGGTGGCACGAATAAAAATGGTCTTAAGTGGAAGATTCGTGAGCGGAAGAAGTGATATATTGTTCCTTTCCTTTGGTTTGTGGTTTGTTTATTGTTCATACTGCTACGGCAGTTTATGATTCTGCGTTGCATCGGTGGTGGGAAAAGTTCCGTGTCTACTAGAGGCGTTCGAGATACCATTAATGTACAGTGATCATCAAGACCTTTTATTGCTATGCTCATATTACATGCGTCAATCGTAAACCGCTGGTACAAATCATGCCTGCTGCTTCTTCATGTGCGCCACGCGGATGCTCACGGCCCGCTTGTGCGCATCCAGTCCCTCCACTGCTGCCAGCTGCTCCACCGTGCGAGACAGGCCCAGCAGACCGTCTGCCGTTAGGTTCGAGCTGGTGATGTGCTTGAGGAAGGATCCTAGGTTCACACCGGAGTACTGCTTGGCGTAGCCGTAGGTCGCTGTGACTATTAGCTTGGTTCACTATACTAGTTTGAAGAGATCAGAAAAACTTACGCAAAGAGTGGTTGACACCAGCAGAGTAATCGCCCACACTCTCCGGGGTCCACTGGCCGATGAACACACTACCGGCGTTCTGCACCATCTCAACTGCCGCCTCGGCGTTCTGGATCTGCAGGATCAAGTGCTCAGGGGCGTAGTCGTTGCTGAGAGCCATGGCTTCCTCGAGGTCGCGCACAACGAAAGTGACCGAGTGCGCCAGAGAGCCCTTGACAATGTCCACACGGGGCAGAGCCTTGGCCTGGACGTCAACCTCCTTCTCGATGGCCTGAAGCTGCTCCTCGTTCAAGTCAATGGCAATGAGGATGACCTGCGAGTCCACGCCGTGCTCGGCCTGACTCAGCAAGTCAGAAGCGACGAAAGCAGGGTTGGCGTCCTTGTCCGCAATCACCAGCACTTCACTGGGACCAGCGGGCATGTCAATGCTGACACCGGCGGAGGTGTCGTTGGCGACCAACATCTTGGCGGCAGTGACGAACTGGTTGCCAGGACCCAGGATCTTGTCCACCTTGCTGACACTCTCCGTGCCGTATGCCATGGCAGCGACTGCCTGAGCACCACCGGCAAGCACGATGCTTTCAGCACCGACCTTGTGCGCAACGTAGACAATCTCAGGCGAGATGCTGCCATCCGCGCGAGGAGGAGAAGCGAAGACCAGCTTCTTGCAGCCAGCCACCATAGCGGGAACACCCAGCATCATGGCGGTCGACGGCAGAACGGCAGTACCACCGGGGATGTAGAGACCGACGCGCTCAATGGGACGAGAGAAACGAGAGCAGACCACGCCCGGCATGGTCTCCACCTTCAAGCCCTCGTTGCTGTCCTTCTGGGCGCTGTGGAACTTGGCAATGTTGGAGATACTGATATCAATGGCCTCCTGGGTCTCGGGGGACAGCTTCATCAGCTCAGGCGGGAAAGGAGCGCTAAGCACCGGGGAGGTCAAAGAAGTGGCCTTTTCGAACTTGTGGGTGTACTTGAGCACGCCGGCGTCACCGTTCTTGCGGACGTCATCAATGATGGGGCGGACGAGAGCGACGATGGCATCGTTGGACTTCTGAGAAGGACGCTTGAGGTAGTCCTGGACGACATTCTCGGGGGTCGAAGCGGTAATAACGCGGGTCATCTGCATGGGCTCATCGGCCTTGGGAGCGGGCTCAGCAGGCTTAGCGGGCTCTGCAGCGGGCTTCGATTCGGCCAGACCAGCCTTCTCTGCCCAAGGGCCCTTGGCATCACCCTTTCTCCTCTTCACCTTCAGACTCTTGAGGTCCAGGTTCCTCTCCACATCCTCCAGGCTGACACCGGCCGCGACGCAGCGAGTAAGAGCGAAGTAAAGAAGATCCGCAGCCTCGAAGGCAATCTCTTCCTTAGTGTTGGCGCGGCACAGCTCATCAGCCTCCTCCATGATCTTGGCCTGGGTGAGCTTGGGCTCGTTGAAAAGGCGGGCAGTGTAGGATCCGGCGGGCGCATCAGCCTTGCGGGCTTGCAGGGTCTTCTGAAGACGGGCGAGACCGTTGTAGGGGCCGAAGCAGCTGGCGGTTCCAAGGTGGCAGAAACCTTTGAAGATGGTTAGTAGATTCAAGCGAACTGGGAACTCTAGACTTACCTCTGCCAATCTGGTTAACAACAAAGACCAAGCAATCGCTGTCGCAGTCAAAGCCGACGCGGATCAGCTCCTGCACGTCTCCGCTGGACTGACCCTTGTACCAAAGACCACGCTTCCGGCTCTGGTATACGCCGGTGCCAGTGCGGAGGGCCTCGGCAATGCTCTCGTCGTTGCTCCACACCAATCCCAGACACGTTCCACGCTCATCGGTCACGGTGGTGGCGTACAGACCGTTGCTCTGGTCTGCGACAGCACGGGCAGCAATGAGAGAGGCGGCGACGATCTTGCCGTTAGGTTCCTTGTGCTCAAAGGTCAATGCATCGGCCGACACAACACTGACGCCACCCTGGGCCAAGGTGTCCTTGAGCGTTTCCTCCGTGGGGGTGCTAGTGTATGTGCGGTACAAGTTCTGGGCTTCCAGGTTCATGCCAAGCTTCTCAGCGATGGCCTTGACGGCAGACGAGTCGGTCGACAAGCCAGCATCCTTGTGTTCGGTGGACTCGCCCACCCAGGTCTTGAAGGCATCCACCTGGCTCTCGGCGGCATAGACGACGAGACGTGATGACGGGACGGACTGTTCTTGGGACAGAGCCGTCAATTGGTTGAGGGAGATGAAGATCTTGGCGGCGCCGGCATTGAGGATATCGACGAGGTCGCCAGTGGAGGTAATGGCAGTAGCGTCAACGTAGACATCAAGGAGGCGGAAGTTGCGCTTGAGGAAGTCCTCAGCTTGAGCGAGGCTGGAGACCTTGACGAGGACGCGACCGAAGTAGGCGATCTGCTTGAGGGAGAGGCCGGAGGAGGGGGAAGCGGGGTCGTACGAGACGAGGAGGGGAGTGGCCATGATGGATCAATGAGAGGGGAACTCTCTAGGGGAAATATTCAAGGAGAGAGAATCAGAAGTAAGATCCCCAAGACGGGGAAGAAAGACAGCAGTTGGACACTGAGGAGAGAAGACGCGAGAGACAAGCGAGAGAAAGTGAGTCAGTCCGTCCGGGGCGGATCGGGGCAAAGATAAAGAAAGACTCCGCCTGCAATTTTCTTCCTGTTCTTTTGCCCCGCCATCGGAGAGGTTCTCACCGCCCGCCACAAATGCCTTGCAATTGATTGGATTGGCAGTGTTGGGATGCCTTTATCCATGGCTGACGGTCGCACAGAGTTAATTCCCTTGGGCAGATGTCGGGTCTAGCCATGTTCCTGAAGCTTGTTGCTTCAATGGGAGTTTCCTACTGATCCTGTTGGCGGGGTTGGCATGTCCCCATGAAATCTTGTGGGATCCCGTCAATTCCCTCCACCGGATTCAATTTAGAGTGTTGATTAAGTTGATCCAGTTTATCACTAATTCCGTGCGGTCACTACGGGCCGATTAATCTCGGAGGAATTACTATGCAGCTTCAAATGAATGGGCCAATATCCTCCGAATGCTGTCACCTCCACATGCTGGCATAACTTACGGCATTTCATCCCGCATTCGGTCGGCCCCAGTGCCGATCGGGCGCGCTATTACTACTACCCTATTACCTGCTCCTAGATGTCCACAGTTACTTGCAGCCAGGATGTCTTAAGAGATCATAAACTGACAGTCCTATCTACTGCCTCTTCGCAGTGCATCACTCCAATTCGAGCATCCCCAGCGGGTCGATTTACTATCCCGAATGAAGACAGTACACTCAACAATCATAGGCAACATCAATAATCGCGTATTGACTTTTCAGCTGCCCAGCGAGGCAGCATGAAGAGTGTCTAGGTCGTCATTCTCCGTAAAAGTGAAGCGTCTTATTATAGAGGCTGTCACTCTCGGCGGCAATGGTATGAATAGCATTGATAACCAACAGGTACTGCAGTTTCTCCTGGGTTTGTGTGAAGAGAAGCCAGGCGCAAAATAATGTCTTCAGTCAACGTACAGTAAATATCCTTTGGGTGAGAGTCCCGAGGCAGCACCATAGCCCCTGCTGGGAAGTAGACAAGGGTCAAAAACCCTTGATGTATCCCATTCCAGGGAGAGAGAATATTCCCTTCATTCACAGTACAAGCCAACAAGAAAAGTTTGATGAAACTGGTGACCGAACCTGCTCTGCAGTGCTCACATTCTAGACGCTGGTGTTCACGTCCAGGTGGATCACTTGCAATCATGAAGCACATGCGATGTTTCTGCAGGTAGACTGGTGACCTGATGTAGTAAACTCTAACCCCACAGCCGAGGACACCCCAATCTTGAAGGGTCCTGACATTTGAAAGCGGGGATATAGTCAAGTACTACTCAGGGTTGTCAGCCCACGCCCAACCCCAGGCACACCTTGTCAAGGCAAGCATCTGATGCAGCTCGTGTGAGACAGGGACAAGAATATCGTATGGCTCGATCTAACCATATCGAGAACGGCCCAGAGATACTGACCCTTAGTCTAGGCGATCACCTTTGGCTTCTTCGATTTCAAACCTACTTTCCACTAGTCGGTCTGAGGTCTCCGAATCTCCAGGCGATCATCTGCCCACCCTCATCATCTGCTATGCGGACTGACCTGCCCGAATGATCGACTAAATAGTCCTCCGTACTGGCCATCGCGATGTGACTGTGGCACCTCGCCAAGTCTCGAGTTGAATTAAGCGCCCACCTTGAAGTATCTGATGGGTATGAAGTGAGGATGGAGTACCTGCTGGCTTGCCTGCACGGCCAGCCAGGAACAAGTACCGATCACATCAGGAATACCCCTCGGGGACCAGCAGAGGAATCCACCCTTGCATGGCTGGCCCTCCAATCGGAGGCTCAGATCGGTGGGGATGGGCCCAAAGCAGCTTAGCGGACTGGGGCTTGGCCCCGCCCAGGAACCAGGGACTGCTGGCTGCCTTTCCTCTTTGGGAAACTCCAGGGCCGCCTCCATCTTCCCCTGTGCCGTCATTGTATGCAAAGCAAGCAGTTCTTGTGTGTGTCCTCACACTGGCACTCTCGATGGAATCCTGCAACTAAACTAGTAGTCTGCGGGTCTCCCCCAAAATGGATGCAGCATAACTCTCCTTCTCAGCCTGATCCCGTCTGCTTCTCCGCATTCTTTAGCCGGTAGATCGTCTTATTTATACCCGATTCCGTCCGCTTGTTGACGTGCTCTCATTCTTGCGTCCTGTTTTCGTGGTCTGTGCAAGACCAGTTTGGTTTTTTATTTCGGGTCTGCTCACTCGGTTGTCACTCATTTCGCCAAACCATGCATCTCCCCTCGCTTTCCTTGTCCCTGACGGCCTTGGCCATCGCCAGTCCTTCTGCCGCTTATCCTCATTTTGGCTCCTCCCAGCCCGTCCTGCACAGTAGTTCCGACACCACTCAATCGCGCGCAGACGCCATCAAGGCTGCTTTCTCGCACGCCTGGGATGGCTACCTCCAATACGCGTTTCCTCATGACGAGCTGCATCCCGTGTCGAATGGCTATGGCGACTCCCGGAATGGCTGGGGTGCCTCTGCCGTGGACGCACTCTCCACAGCGGTGATTATGCGCAATGCCACCATTGTCAATCAGATCTTGGACCACGTGGGCAAGATTGATTACTCTAAGACAAACACCACGGTGAGCCTCTTCGAGACCACCATCCGTTATCTGGGTGGCATGCTGTCCGGATACGATCTGTTGAAGGGGCCCGTGTCCGACCTGGTACAAAACTCGTCGAAAATCGACGTGCTCTTGACCCAATCGAAGAACCTCGCCGACGTGCTTAAATTCGCCTTCGACACGCCTTCGGGGGTTCCGTACAACAACCTCAACATCACCTCAGGGGGGAATGATGGAGCCAAGACGAATGGTCTGGCCGTGACGGGTACACTGGCGCTGGAATGGACGCGCCTGTCGGATCTTACCGGTGACACCACGTATGCCGACCTGAGTCAAAAGGCCGAGTCGTACCTCCTCAACCCGCAGCCCAAGTCTGCGGAGCCGTTCCCCGGCTTGGTTGGAAGCAACATCAACATCAGCAATGGTCAATTCACAGATGCGCAGGTGAGCTGGAATGGCGGTGATGACTCTTACTACGAGTACCTCATCAAGATGTACGTGTACGACCCCAAGCGGTTCGGTCTCTACAAGGACCGCTGGGTGGCCGCGGCGCAATCGACGATGCAGCATCTCGCGTCGCACCCCTCGTCCCGCCCGGACCTGACCTTCCTGGCATCCTACAACAACGGAACTTTGGGATTGAGCTCGCAACACTTGACCTGCTTCGACGGAGGCAGCTTCTTGCTGGGAGGCACCGTGCTGAACCGGACGGACTTTATTAATTTCGGTCTGGACCTGGTGAGCGGGTGTCATGATACGTACAACTCGACGTTGACGGGAATTGGTCCGGAGTCGTTCAGCTGGGATACCAGCGACATTCCCTCGAGCCAGCAGTCGCTCTACGAGAAAGCCGGATTTTACATCACGAGTGGCGCGTACATTCTGCGCCCGGAAGTGATTGAAAGCTTCTACTATGCCTGGAGAGTTACCGGGCAGGAAACAGTAAGCTTGAGTCCTCATTCTATTAGGTCAATAGTAACTAACAACATCTTAGTACCGGGATTGGATCTGGAGCGCATTCAGCGCTGTCAACGACTACTGCCGCACCAGCTCTGGATTTTCAGGTCTGACGGACGTGAACGCGGCCAACGGCGGCAGCCGGTACGACAACCAGGAGAGTTTCCTGTTTGCCGAGGTGATGAAATACTCGTACATGGCGTTTGCGGAAGATGCGGCCTGGCAAGTGCAGCCCGGCAGCGGGAACCAATTTGTGTTCAACACCGAGGCACATCCAGTGCGGGTGAGTAGTACATAAATGGGTAGACATTGTTAGAGATGTGTATGGTATCAATAGAGACATGGCATTCAGCAGAATACTATCTGCCTTGTTCTAAATATACTCCAGACAAGAAACCCCCGCAAACTCGCTCATACTCTCTCCCATTCTTTATCCCATTCAGTAGATCCTCAATAGATGATAGGTGATCCACCGCCCCACCCCCATACAAATAGTCGGTGGCGCCCCACACCCAGAGATGCGCACATTTGAGCAGCTTTGCTTTCAGTAGTACCTTGGGGACCATGTCCAATGCATACTATCTATGTGTTTACGTACCTTGGGGGCTAGACAATATAGACATAGAAGCTGTAGTCCCTATTTCTTTCTCTCCATAAACAAATCATCTTCCATCTATCCTCTCTTCTTTCTTCTCACGCATACACCCACCAACTCCAAACTTTACAGATTCCCTCCCCTAGTACAGTGTGAACAAACAAATCCCCAAGGAACATATATTAGAAAGAAAAGACATTGAAGATGTGCGGCCCTTCCCGCCCAAGCTCTGGCTCTCTCATCGCTGTTATCTTCCCTTCATCATCATCAGCATTATCATCATCTACAACCTCTCCTCCCTCTTCGCCTTCATCATCATCAACAACATCTACAAATGACTCCACATCACCAACAACAAACCCATCATACTACCTCTTCTTCAAAAACACCACACACCCAGCGTCAGATTCCCAAACAGGGAAAGAGTCGAGAATAACAACAACAAGAACAAAAGCCCTCTTCCGCGTCCCAGACCCTCTCACTCGCAGATCATTTCAGGAGAGTACGGCGGTGTATATGCGGATTGAGTATGTATATCATATCCTATCCTATCACTTGTATTAGGGTCTATCTGTGTGAATAGTTACTAATCCTGTGGTGTAGGAAATACGGAGATCTCTCGGTAGAGAATAGATCTCCCCCGTTACATTGTTTCCGATTACCGATGATGAAGATGCAAGGTGATGGTGGGGAGGAATTGGAGTTTGAGGTTACCTTGCCGGAGAGGTTGGAGTTGGGGGTCTCTGAGAGGGGGATTGTGGGGAGGTGTGTTAGGGTTGGGGTTGGGTTGGGTGGTGGTGGTGGTGTTGGGGATGGGATTGGGGTTGTGGATATGGGGAGGGGGGTGGTGGGGTATGATTGATCTGTTCTGTATTGTTGTGCCTTATATGGTGATTATAGAGATATGGAATAGAAGAGAAGGAATAAATCTTTCAATCAATCATGTATGTGGCTGTTATCGACAGTCTGATGGTAGATAGATACACAGAGAGAAAGAGGCTAACTACAACTTCAACGAGCCCAATTCGTCCGTACCATTCAGATACCGATGCTCTGCTTCTTCCCAGTTAATCACCTTCCAGATGTTCTGCACATAGGAAGCCTTATTGTTCAGGTACTACACCACACCACCATTACATTAGCACCACCCAACGCAAGTAGAATGGACAGGGGTCCTCACCTGCAAATAATAAGCATGCTCCCACATATCCACCCCAAACACCGGAATCGGCCCCGTCACTGGATCCTGATCCTTCGTCGTGACAATCTCGAGGAATCCCTTCTTCCCCGAACTCACCAGCCAGCCCCATCCACTGCCCTGGATTCCCAACAGTACCGCCTCAAACGCATCTGTGAAGTTCTTGACTGATCCCCACTGCTTCTCAATAGCGTCTTTGAGGGTCGGGGCGGATTGCTCCAGCTTAGTGGCTGGGGAGTCGTAGCGAGCCAAGTTCTTCCAGAACAGCGAGTGGTTGATGTGGCCGCCGCCGTTGAACTTGAGCTTCTGCTGGATGCTGATGAGCTGGGTGATGTCGTTGCTGTCGAGAGCGGAGGCTTGAGAGGCGAGGGCGGCGTTGAGGTTGTTCACGTAGGTTTGGTGGTGCTTTTTGTGGTGGAGTTCCATGATTTGTTTGGAGATGATGGGTTCGAGGGCCTGTTCTTGATAAGAGATGGGTTTGATGGGGAGGCAGGGAGAGGGGAGGGCTTACATCGTAGTCGTAGGGGAGGTCGGGGAGGGTGTATTTGGAAGTCATGTTGGGTGGTTTGGCTGGGTTGTGCTGTGTAGCTGTTGGATAGGTTGGGATGGCGGTGGTGTTGATGAAGGAAGAAGGAGAGATGATAGATGTTCAAGAGTGAAGGATGTAAGAGGGGTATTTCAGCCATCACGACATTTTGAGGGCATTGTCATCCTACAAGGTACTCTTCTCCCACCAATCCGAGGGTGGGGGATCTGTCCAGATGGGGACCTTGCTGCGCACGATTGAGCAAGTTTCGATCCCCGTCATTGGCTGTGAACAGAGAGAGTGGGATCTACTGGATGATATCACAGAGAGATTCTCCCTCTTTGGGCGATCTTCGCTGAGAACCTCATTATAGACAACTCTGAGGGAACTCCCTGAGGAAATGGATTGGAGGTCGGCTTTCACTTCCATCCATCTGGATAGAGTACATGGAGGGTATCTGCACTGGCCAATCAGCATCCCCCACTCACCCATACTTGCCTCAGTTCCAGACTAACCAGGAGCAGCTAGACAAGTATCTACAAGGAGTAAGGTGGTAAAATATGCGTAGTGGCCAACTGTCACATACCGTGCGGGGTTGAGATGTTACAGCCTCGGATGCTGGTCGGCAACCAAACAGTTGAGCTGATGAGAGTCAATACATAACTTCTGTAGCCTCGCGTCACTCTGTCCTCGTCATAACCCTCACCTCCACCGTCATTCATCCATCATGTCAGCCTCTGAACAGGTCCAGCTGGATAATTTCCCCACCATCTTCTCCCTGGAGGGAAAGGTGGCCCTCGTCACTGGAGGCTCTCGCGGTCTAGGTCTGCACACTGCCAGTGGGTAGGACAGAAGCAATCGCCCCAGAATGAACCAGGATCTTACCAATTGATCTAGTCTCCTCCAATCGGGCTGTTCCAAGGTCTACATCACCTCGCGCAAGGCGTCTGCCTGCGCCGAAGCCGTTGCGGCCCTAAATGCTCTCCCCAACAAACCCCCGCACGCCACCGCCATCGCTGTCCCCGCCGACAACTCTAATATGGAGGAGCTAGACCGGCTCGTCGCAGAGGTGTCCAAGACCACCTCCCATCTCGACATCCTCTTCGCCAACGCCGGTGCAACATGGGGCGAGAAGTTTGATACCTACCCAGAGGACAAGTTCAGCAAGGTCATGGACCTAAATGTGAAGAGCGTCTTCTACACCATCCAGAAATTCACTCCCCTGCTGACGGCACGGGCCACCCAAGATGACCCGTCGCGCGTTATCGTAACTGGCTCGACTGCGGGCATTACACTGGGCAGTCTAGGCCCCAGTGCAACCTTCAGTTACTCTGCCTCTAAGGCAGCTGTGATGCATCTCGCCCGGAACTTGGCCGTCGATTTGGGGCCCCGACACATCCTGTGTAATGCCATTGCGCCAGGATTCTTCCCGTCCAAGATGGCCAATGGCCTGATCAAGATCAAGGGAGGACTGGAGGATCTGGAACGGAAGTCACCAAACGGAAGGCTGGGCAGGAAGGAGGATATTGCGGGCTTGGTCGTGTTTCTGGCCAGTCGGGCAGCAAGCCACATGAATGGAGCTGTGATTCCCATCGATGGGGGGAATCATTTGGCGCGATTGTAAATGATGATTGGGCTGAAGTATATGCGTCCGAAATGTAGCAATGGCCTGATCGTTGGACATGGATGGGAGAGTCTCCATCGCAAACGGGTGTCGCATCAAGCCACTGTTTGGACACTGCTTCTGTTGGGTGGCAAGGAATGCTACCCTGTGCTACCAGAGAAATGGAAGCAGTCATCAGGAGATTGCTTGAGTAGCGTAATTTTTCCTCTCTGAATCTGCCTACATATGGGGAGCGTACTCGCTTCCATCTATCATCCGACGCGCATGCCTTTTCTTTTCCTTTGGTAGCTCCTTATATATACGCTTGACCAGCAATAGTCTCTCTTTATACACCCACACCTTACTATTAGTATATACAACCGTCTTCTGAGCTTGCTTGTGAATTTGCACTTCAGACTCATTGTCACCGTCGACACCGCCCCTCATCATATTCCAGCTGACATCAAGTGACTTGCTCGATAAACCTCGAGCCTTTCTGATTTCTCAGCTTTCTATCCGGAGAGAGCGTCAAGTCGACCATCTCGGGGTGTAATCGAGTGTCGGACATGGACCTGAAGAAACCTGGGTACTCATGCATGTGGCCTTGACTACATTATGGCACGCATGATTACCATCGAAACCGACTACGGAGTTGGCGAACCCCGAGCCACCACCACCCTGGAAATGAAGCTCGCTTAGCGTGTCTGCCCTGAACGTCGGGCTGGATGCTCTACTATCTCCAGCGGCAGAGAATCATTCTGAGTTTCGAGAGCTGGAACAATATCCATTCTTAGACTCCACAAGGTTGCCAACCTCGCGTACGAGCGCAGGTGATCATGCACAGTTCTTCTACAAGGCATCACTTCTTTTCACTGTACTGTACACCAGGGGTGCTGGTTCTCTTGAAAGATAAACGAAAACAAGATTCGACGTGGCCTTCGTTTTGTATATCTTTCGCTTTATCGCTCAACCTATCGAGACAAAGGGTCTCGTCGCCCAATCTTCAGCTTCGAGAATCCAAAATACAGCATACCAGAATGCCGAAAATGATACGAGTACGCTTAGACTCGGAATTATTGCTATCAAGTCAGCAGAGCGCATCTTAAATGATTCACCACAGCCTGATGAGAGTATTCATTAACATGGTCTATCGTGGCTAAGCGAGCTATACCCCGGAGGGACTCTATCTCCTCAAGGGCCTATTTTCAGGGTCATCAAAAGCCGAAGGACTTTGCAACGTTTCGGCGTCTGATGATAGGCAAGATCAAGCCCGAAAATGTTATGGGTACAGTCATGATCCAGTACGTGTCATGTTCCTACCTTTTCTCACCCGCCTTCTAATGTATCTTTATTGATGGTATTACCAGACGACAGTCGTACTGTGAATTGTATATCGTCCCATTTGAGCACATTCCCAAGAGCTGCAACAATAAATTTGTCTCCGTACCGCTGAGGAGCAGTCGGAGTAAAGGTCGGTGCCACACAAAAAGCTTCAGATGGCACGGGAAACTTCTCATCGACCACAACTGTCGCCTCTGTAGCTGCTGGACCAGAACTGAGGTAGTGAAAAGACGCATCGCGGCATTTCAATTCAGAAAGCAGAAGTATGGTGCAGATGTAAGGCTGGAACATGATGCTGTGGGCAACTTTCACTGAGACCGCAGAGTCCGATAGCTTGCTTGGACGTTTGTGGAGATCTTGCTCGGCATCGGGAGAAAACTGCTATTTACAGCACAATGGTCCCCTCCGGAGTATCGTCTCCGCTTGATAATCCTGTCGGTGCCTCTGTGTGGGCGGTTCGACCCAATGGAGACTATCGCTCTGGAACCACCTGCGACCCAAGACGAAGCTGGGAGTCTGCGGGCCCTTGCTACTGATCTCGAATCACTTCCTAGAACGCTACCAAACAAAACCAGAACGACTGTTGCCATTGGGGCTGTGAGATTCTAAACAGGCAACATAAGAAGGAGGACATGCAGTTCGGATGTGGCGGAGGAGGATATAACGATAGGGAACTGGTTTCTTCAAAGATGATGATACAGGCAACCACTTTGCTTTCCCGCAGGCCTACTAATATGGGGGCAAAGTACCGTCGAATTTGTGTCTGTCATCTGCATTTAGCGTGGTAGTCTTATGGACCACGCAAGGATACTGGAATTGCCATGTATCGAACAGTCAGTCTACCCTCCCTGCCAGTGTGCTTTGTTGGGACTGACAGCCCATAGACACTCATATCCAACGATATGCCACATCTTTTACATGTTGCCGTCCCAAGGGGTTTATAACGTCTTGCACATGTGAATGATAATGCTCGTAAGAGAAAGTTTATGTTGTATCCCGGTTGGAAGTCAGGCCATGTATTTTCTTCTTCTCTTCCCTCCTCATGCCCCGTTCTTATCACTTTAGCTTCCCTGCACTCTGGCAGCCATGCCTACGTATCCTACTGTTCTGAACCAAGTGCGGCATTTTGAAACCACAACGGTCGCGAGTGGAGCAAGTAATTGTGCTCTTGCTGTTCTGGGTGGCAGTACGGAAATATGCTGGATCACGAAAAAAAGTATTGGAAGACCGCAACGGTTGTCCAGTCGCACTCTAGTTGGACGAGAATGTGGCCGCGATGTGGCTTCGGAAAATCAGACAATTCCACATTGCATCCAATCTTTGAGTTACGGCGCTCCGTCAATAACCATGGCGTGGTATATCGGGCCAACGACTTTGCGAGTTCCCCGGTGGTCACGATGTTGCCCTGGAATTTCAAAGTGACACAGGCACTTGAAACCCGATGCTCCCTATGTTTGGTATTTTGAGATGCATGATGTGGCAACGCCATCCCTTTCGAGATGACCATTGCCAAGCTCTTTATTACTGTTGTTCCAATGCGCTCTTGAACCACTTTCTTGGATTTGTTCGATCTCTTTTAGTATGCGGTGGATTCGATGTAGACAATTCTTGGACCGGTATATAACTTCGAAGGATTGGCCGCTGGCACTTGGCGACATGCTTCTGGAAAAGCCAGAGGAGGCACTCACTACCTGTGGTGGTTTTTACATGGACGGTGTCGCAACAGCTGAAGCTCCCAGGGACTTAACATTTCACCCAGATAATAGCTATTTTTGGACAAGCCAGGCGTCAGGAACTACTCGATGTAGACCTTGATGCAACAGATGCGGGCGAATGCCCACAAGAAGTTCCTTGGGATTTGAGCTGTTCAAAAACTGTGGAGCAAGCACTGTAAAAACAAGAAGCCACAATCAAATCATCCACGCTCGGCCTGTCGCTCAGTTGACAACAGACGACAACGAGCTGAAGCAATGCGGTCCAAATTGCAACCGTTAATCGACCAACAGCTGGTCCCTGAATCACATACACCAGCTTTCTCCGGCTAACGCCCTGACGATCACCCAGCATCCTTTATGCTGGCCTGGTTGGATCACAGGAATGGGAAGGACAAATCATCATGCAGGGCCAGGGAAAATGCTACTCTGGGACTTCCGATGCCCGCCTCGATATTGTGTAGGTGTCTCCAGATATGTACTTCTCATGGCTGTACTAACTGTTCTAGTGATCAATTTAACCACGCCGACACTACCTTACTGAAGTTATAAACATTCACCATGTCTACAAGTGGCTCATGCGACATTTGAACGAGTCCCCAGTTAAAGACAGCCACCAAAACAGCTCCCCTTGGTCCCCCCTCTGGCCCAGCTGTGGCAGTTCTCGACCCAGTCGGAGATAGCCATACCTACTGCCCTCTTCGTGGCATGGAAGCTGGAGCGACCAATCTCCGTCGTTCCTCGTGATGACACAGACGGCTAAACAACATGTCGACACCGGAGGAATGTTGTTGTTGAGGGCAGCAGGGCAGATTTTGGTACGAGCAAGACTTGAAAGATGCGCACAAATACTCGCGTTGCATGACAAATGTTGGGCTACGAATGCCGGAGCCCAACTTCATGTCCACATTTGAATGCGGAGTCGAGCAATCCTCTCGGAAGCGGCTAGGAGGTTATGGCTGCAGTGATGATTCTCTCTCTATTTATGGTAGACCATAATGCGAGAGTCTATTGTGACTCGACAAGCTATGTCATGAGCAGTCGCGTGCCAGTTCCACCGAAGAACCATGCTGATCCTTGCTTTGGCAAGTGTTTCTGCCCGACCTACTGCTTCAAGTAGGCTCAGCTGGTTCATACGGTTCGGGCCTAACAAGAAGTTTCCCTGTCTAAGGATAAAAAGCTAGAAGAGATAGCCCATTACGACCAGGCGTCATGGGTCCATGGCGGCGAATTTGACCCTGAGAATCCGCTTTTTGATGTTGACCAGCTCGAAGAACCTGCTGAGACAGACCAACTGCGCGCGAAAAGCATAAAGACCCTAACCATGTTCTGCTCGCAGCTGGCAGGGACATATGCGACAAGGTGTTGGAGTTTCATGGCTTGGGTCTATATATTATGTAATTAATCCTCATACTCCCCTTCAGCCAAGGTATCCGAAAGTGATAATCCAGCTCAAGATAATCTGGAGCCAAGCCAAAGGTCGCAGTCCCGAATCAGTGGAAGGGTCATTTCACTGCACTAGGGAGTCCTCGATTGTTGAGACAGACTGTCGGTATCGAGATCGCTACCTACCTGTATGTAGGTATTACAAAGCCCCGGGAAGCTGTTTTCAGTTGAATATCAACACTCCACCAGCCTTTTCCGACTCAACATAATCTGCTGTTTCTTTTGCTCGTTTGCAAGCTGCGGAACGGATGAGCTGGTAACACGTCCATGGTAAGTCTTCTTTTGCCTACGAGGATAAAAGGAAAAACTGGCTTACCCGTGGTAGGATACGCATTTGACGATAAGATTCCACTTCGCCCGAAACAGCGCATGTTTCCGAAGGCCACGAAGGGAATTTCGATGAGCGGCTGCTATTTGGCTATCAGGCTACCACTCATCGACGCTGTGATATTCGGTCCAAATCCGCCAAGACACCCGAAAATGACGACGTCCAGTGGTGGAGGAAGGGAGAAACGTTTCCGCTACGGCAACACTGATTGCTTGGACGATTATAACGACAGCAGTGACAACACTACTGTGTTTCTTCGTTGGTGGGGTGAGCCAGTAGGGGGATATCAAATTTCTGGCCATGGTCAAAACTTATGCCTGACGGCGAGGTGGTGGGACGAGTAGTTGCATTTGTGAATGTGAGGTGCTTCCTTATGCCTCTGTTATCGCTGCCATATCCTACATGTACTCTTAGCTGCACACTCGCAGCACCAGGCTGCCCCTCTACATCAATTGTACAACAGTTTATCAGCCAGTCACCATTTCAAATATTTTGTAATCAATTCCTATACATTCTTCCATAGCTATGGTATATTAAGCTTACCGATTATCCGCATCGGTCCCCTGGCGTAATGTCCTCCCCTCACGTGGAGTCGGGCCTCGGCTGCGTTGCTTCTCCGCATTCCCCAAATATCAATCAATAACACCATTCTCTACTTCTCTCCTGTTCTCGTCAACCTGAACCTCAATTCCCATCTAATAGCCATCAAAGCCAAGGATCAACATGCCCGACTATCAATCCATCGCAGCTCGCAAGCAGCAGCATTTGGAATCCCTCATCCCCCCGGAATGGCGTCTCGACGCCTCACAAATCCCCGCGGGGATGCTCTCCGTCGCCGACTCCGTCACCAACCCTTCCTACAGCGAGAGCATCAACGTCGTTGATATTCCACGAACTTGCGGGCTACTCACTCCTCATGAGCTGCACATCACCGAAGACTACGACATCCGCTCCCTCCTGACAGAACTCCACTCCAAACGCCTCACCGCGGAAGAAGTCACCCGCGCGTTCTGCAAGGTATACCCAACTCCATATAAGAACATCACATCCCTAACCTCACCTCATCTCAGCGCGCCGCCATCGCCCAACAACTCTCCCGCTGCCTCTCCGAGCCTCTCTTCACCCAAGCCCTCGCCCGCGCCCGCACCCTCGACACCCACCTCCGCAACACCAACACCCCCATCGGCCCACTCCACGGCCTCCCCATCTCCGTCAAAGACACCTTCCACATCACCGGCGTCGACGCAACCAACGGTCTCGCCGCCCTCGCCTTCCACCCCTCCACCAAAGACGCCGACCTCGTCACCCTCCTCGAATCCCTCGGCGCCATCATCATCACCAAGACCAACGTCCCCCAAACCGTCTCCACCCTCGATACCGCAAACCACCTTTTCGGCCGCACCCTGAACCCCCTCAACCGCCGCCTAACCGCCGGCGGCAGCACCGGCGGCGAAGCCGCCCTCCTCGCCCTCCGCGGCACCACCCTCAGCTTCGGCACCGACATCGGCGGCAGCGTACGCATCCCGCCCATGTGCGTAGGCAAATACGGCTTCAAGCCCAGCCACGGCCGACTCCCATACGGCGGCCAGCAAGAGAGCGGGCATCTGCCAGCGAAGAACCGTATCGCATTGCAGCCTGTGGCAGGAGTGATGGGCCACTCCGTAGAAGACATAGGTTTAGCATTGGCGGAGATCGTGCCCAGGGCAGAGCTGTTCGGAGAGGACTGTATACCCGGGAACTGGGGACCATCCCCAACACTAAACCCAAATTTACCCCAAGCTACTATGAAGCAGAAACTAACCATCGGCATCCTCCGCACCGACGGCCTCGTCGAACCCCTCCCTCCTATCCGCAACATCCTCAACGAAGTCGCTACCATCCTCCACCATCATGACATCGACCTCATCGACCTCCCCACCCCACCCGCCCTCCGCAAATGCCAAACCATCGCCAACAAACTCATGGGCATCGACGGCGGTAACCCCATGCACGACCTCCTCGAACAGACCAACGAGCCCCTGATCCCCTGGCTCCAGGGCCGCTCGAAGCGCCGTAACCCACTCACGGTACCGGAATTATGCGAGCTGCAGCATCAACGAGCACAGGTCCAGCGCGAGATGATGAGCATGTGGACTTATACCTCACCCACAGAAAACCAAGGAAATGAGAGGACGAAGAGGAGAATAGACGCAATCATCCACCCCGTCGCACCGCACCCCGTCCCCGAACACGACAAGTATAATGCAGTCGGGTATACCTCATCCTGGGTACTGTTGGATTACCCGGCGGGAGTGGTGCCGGTGCGGAAGGTGAAGATGGAGGATTTGGAGGTGGGGAGGGAGATGAAGGATCCAGTGAGGGGGAGTTGGGATGCGAAGAATAGGGAGTTGTGTATGTTGTCCCCATTCCCCTGTTTTCTATGATATTGTGTCTTTGGGTGTTGTGATGTGTTGTGCTGACCAGAGTATGATGGATGCAGGGGACGAGAAACTCGTCGATAGACGCATATATCTTGATTCGCCGCTTAGCGTGCAGGTCATTACGCCTAGATTGCATGATTATGAGCTGGTCGTGGCGATGGGGGTGGTTGATCGGGCTGTGAAGGAGTTTTATTCTAAGAGTCAGGATACAGCGAAGCTATAGATAGATAGATAGATATTACGAAGCATCTCCTAGATATACATATATCTGTATATACATGACATACACACATACTACCAACCTACACCCCACCCCCATCTTCTCAAGAGCAGAGATAAGATAAAAAAGAGAAAAAGACCCGGAGAGAGAGTAAGTGAGGGAAGGAAGAAAGGAGGTTAATACCTCGAAACATCCCTCCCAAAAATCTGATTGAGCAACCACCTAAACCCAACCCTCAATTTATTCCTCCAACTAATACTCATGGTCAAATAGGCCGAATTCCACACCACCCAAGCCATCCGTCCCGTCAACCCCTCGGGCAAATACCTCCCACCATCCTCTTTATTGTCATGCGGGATCTGCATCAACGCCTTCGCATCACCGATATACGCCAACGTCCCCATGTTCCGGAACGAAAAGGGCGGCGCCGTCGCAAAGTCATCTTTGTTCAGCCGCGTCGCGAGCCACTTTGCTTCTTGGAAGGTCGCTTGCGCGGTTGCTGGGGGTGCGCCGGTCTCGGGCATGGCGTTGTCGCCGAGAGCGTAGACGTCTTGGAGGATTGCTGTTTGGGGAGGGTTACTTTCGTCATCGGAGGAGGAGGATTCGAGTTGCACGCGGAGGTGGCCGTCGACCAGGAGGGCGCCGACGTTGGGAGCTTTTTTGACGTGCCAGGTTGTATTGGTGTTGGGGGTGGGGGTGGTGGTTTGTTGGGTGCTTGATGTATCACTGGAGGTAGGGGCTTTCAGAAGGGCAGAGTTGGAGGGAAACTTGTCGACGGTTGTTAAGGCGTCACGGACGAATTTGTTCATTGCGTTCCCCGTGGCCCAGACGCACATGCCAACGCCGACTTCGCCTTCTTCCGCTGTGGTGAGGGTGAGGCAGCGCTTAGGGTCCATTTCGTAGGGTGGTTCAGCACCGGGCTCGCCCCACCGAAGGCTCTGGACGTGGTGGGAGGGTTTGATCTCGATTCCTTCCTTTTGCATGGTGTCCATGGCGTATTGGGAGAGTTTCTCGTCGAACATGGAGAGGACTTTGGGGGCGATGTCGTAGAGGGTGATTCGGGGGATGCCTATGAGGGCTGGGTAGAGGGCGACGAGGTCCTTTACGATGAAGTCGCGTAAGGAGGCGGCGAGTTCCGTGCCTGTTGGGCCGGCGCCGACTATGGCGAAGTGGAGGAGGTGAGAGCGGAGCTCTGGGGAGGTGGTGGGTAGGACGGCGAGTTCGAAGCATTCTCGCACTCGGCGACGGACTTTGCGCGCGTCTCCGATGTCTTTGAAGAAGAGGGCGTTTTCGCGCACGCCGGGGGTTTTGAAGGTCTTGGAGACGGTGCCGACGGAGATCACGAGCTTGTCGTAGGGGATGGTGAATGTTTCGCCGGTTTCCCAGGTGCGTTTGCGGCTGGCGGATTGGGTGGCATTGAGTTGGAATTCCTCGTCTTCGCTGGTCCGGGGTGTTTCGGTCACGCCGCTTTTCACGACGGTGGCTTCGCAGGTGATGGTTTTGTCGGCAAAGTTGACGGATCGCGCGGCAGCTTGAATGAAATCGACCTTTGAGGAAGGGTCGCGGATTGGTTCGACGATGTGGGAGAAGTCTAGGGAGCCGCCGGCGGCATCCGTGAGGAGAGGAGTGAAGACGAAGTATGACCGAGGGGAGATGATGATGGGGTTGTATTTCTGCGGAGAGAGCTTGCGAGAGAGGTTGTAGCCGCCCCAACCGGAACCGAGAATGACAACGCGTTCTTTGTCGTGCTCTTCGCGGAATGCGGTTGAGTGACTGATCTGTGTTGCGAGAGGTCTGCTGATGGTTATGGGCTTTATGGTTGAGCGGGAGACGGAGGTGAGGAGGGAGGATGGACGCTTGCAAGCGACGGAGTAGCCCGGTAGCCTCATTGTGCCATTGAGCGGCAGAAATCGGTCACTCTGTATAGATTGAGTCCTTCTCTGGTGAAACTCAAGCTGGAAACAGCAGATGAAGCGTAGATATGCGATACGAAGCTCATTGTCGGGTCAGGGCTGGTGCTGAGCACATGATGATATCATTCCCGGCCAGGATGGATGGGCCGGAACGGCGCGTCACGAATATCCCCTTTGTTGGGGATACTATCCTCTTTCCGAGACATATTTTTTCTCTCTTCAGCTCAAATCCCTTCATTGCAGACATGTACACATGGTGGTCGATCTGATCCACATGTGAGTCACGGTTGGTGCGCCCGGTTCCATCCGATGGCACATGGAAGACTTCGTCCGGAATGATAAGAGTCCATTGTTGAACGATCTGGAGCATCGGCTCGGCATCTGCTTCTCCCGTTCTAACTATAGGGATCTTCAACCTTATTTGGAATCTCGGTCTGGCCCCTAAACGGATTCGCAACCGGGATCGCCCGAGAAAAGTGGATGTCGTCCCCTTTGGCTAGTTAGGCACATGCGATGTCGGCGGATTGGAATGGAATTCCGGAAAGGCATGTGTACGTACATGTGGTTCGGATTAGGTGGGAGAGGCTCATGGGGGGTGACGAGTGACGAGTAACGAGAGATGAGAGCGAGAGAAGAAGTGGGAGAAGCTGGAGGGAAGATGGAAGTGGGAAGCGAAAATACACAAGGAGTCATGTGATGGGCACGTACTGAATAGAAGAACACTTGAGAGAATGTATCATCACCAGCAGTGCTCAAGGGAGCAACAACTGGACTTGTGGGAACTAATATACTGCAATAAAGAAATGGATGCTGTCATGCCATTCAAGAGTTCCAAGCAATTACGTCAATCCGCCGAGTGGCATGATCTGATCAACATCCTATAGCTTTTATCTACCTACGAAAATCATAAACTCGTCATTCGTGTCGGTCATTGGTATCATCAACTCAATCATCCATGGGACAGCAGCACAGTCCGAGTAGTCTCTCGCGTCGACACAGGAAGCAGGCTTCCCGCGAAATCCGTGTCCATTTCAACACTCTTCCGAGACCGACGAGCACTGAGGATCTTCTCGATCTCGAACGCCGTCGGCCTGATATTATCCTGCATACCAGCAGGGGATGCAGCCGCTCGTTTCTGCGACATCCATCGGCGCATTCGCCGGATGCCTTCCTGACAGACGTCTCCAATGTCATCGACAGACAGCGCAACCAAGATCAAGGGAATAGAGATGGCAAAGCCAATGCCAAACGTGTACTTGGCCACATACGGTAAATGCAGCTCGTTTGCCCCTTCGAACTCGGCCATGTTGATCGCGAAGAAGGACGTGATAAAAGACAGTGGGAGGAAAATGATGGTGACAATTGTGAAAACCATCATGATCTTTCCCTGACGCGTCGTTCCGGCCGCTTGATCGCGGGCGAACCGTGCCTCGAACGCGTTGGCATGTTTCTGCTTGAGATCCAGCAAGTCTGTAATGGAAGAATAGATTCGTTCGGCTTGTTTGTCCATCCGGTCAATATCCTTCAGGTGCATGTCGATCGTGCGCTGCTGTTCCTTGAACCGCTTCTTTACCTCATGCTGTGACCGCTGCTGCCCGTAGTAAATCTCACAAATAGCCTCCTGAAAGTCCAAAAGGACATTTTGCTGGTGTTGCAGGACTGTTCGGATCATGTTGAGCTCGTCGCGAATATCCTTGGCCTCCGAAAGAAGCTCGGTCTCTTGGCCAATATCCAGCAAGTTGTCCACAAAGAGGGGCTGCGCATCCTCTTCCTCCTCTTCTTTCAGAAACCGCTCAAAGCCGTTCTCGGCTGGCTCACCCTTGGTGAGCGGATCCCTGGCAAAGCGACTTAGCTTGCGATGGTTCTTTAGCCAATCCGATGCCTGCGCTGATGCTCGGTTGAACCGATTGAAGAGCACGGTCTCCCGGTCCGTGGCCACACCGATTGAGGCCTCAAACATGTCCAAGAATTGATACTCTTCGTCTCCCATGCGGTGACGATCGAACACGCCAGAGCAGCGGGTGGTGATAATGATAGCCAGATCGTAAACAGATCGCACCGGCTCCCGAGTCTTGGAATTAATGTCTTCAATGATACCATCGAGAACATTGAGAGGGTCATTCTTTGGCTGATCCCACCGCTGAGGGAAACTGGTCACAATCAAGTTCGTTCCCACAATCCACATCCACAGCTGGTCGACCATGAAGATTTTGGGCTCGGCCCAAGAGCGCTCACTACCTTGTCCCTTTGTCTGATAGCGATAGACGACTTGATCCTGGTCCCGAGTCTGCGTATCGATATTGGGGTAGAAGAACTGATCCAACGTGCGCCGGATATGCAGCGAAGAGGTGGATGACGCTAGGTGCGCGCTGATAAGAAGCTCATCTCTGGTGGGAGTTCGTGTAAGACCCGGGTGAGCAAAGTTGCGCGTCTCAGCTCGTTTAATCGCTTCCTGCATCTTCTTCCTTCGCTCGTCCGTTTCAAAGTGCAAGTAGGGCATGAACATGCACACATTGCAGGTTGTGTGGGTTTGCTCCTTGCACAGTGAGAGCACTGGCCGGTGCCTCTCATGGGCGACAACGGATTGGTTCCTGGATTCTGGCTTTTTTAATCCTCCGTTCTTGCTGTGCTTCGTTGTGTTCTTTCCCTTCTTTCCAGAGGGGGCATTATCGTTGTGCAGATTGGTATCTGACCGGTCGCCTTTGCCGCCTAGTTTCCGCCCCCTCGGGCTACCTCCCTCCGCTGGGGACTTCGGCGCTTCCAGAGATTGTCCATTTACCAAAATCCGGGGAGACATTATTTCCTTCTCTTCCAAGCTATCCTCCTCTCGGAGTCGTGCTGCGCGAGGGGTACTCTGACACAATGGTCGCATAAAGTGAGAATGGATTTTTTGTCCGCGGTGTTGATATCGAAACGACCTTTCAAGCCCCTTAAAGCTCTCTACATCGTGGGCTCCCTCCTCGATGAATGATTTAGTGAGCAAAGCTTCGACCCAGGTAAGATTATTAGCTGGCAGATGAATCCAGCGAAAGTCGGTCGCTCGACTGTCGGCTGGTAATGTGGTAAAGGCTTGTTTGCGCGGATTTCCTG